ATTTTATTACTTGTGATTAGTGAAAGAAGTATGAGAGAGTTCCAAAAGCAAAGGCAAAGAGAAGCTTGCTCTTTGGTGATATTGGAGTGTTTCCATGACTTTAGTGAAAGGTAACATACTTTTAACTTTTAGAGTATGCCCAAGACCAATCATGAGATAATTGTATTGGTACTTTTATTTGCCAGTTTTTTTTTAATAAAGGCATTACCATTATTTATTTAGTTATATTTTTGTGTCTCAAATAAATTGAAAGATAATAAAGTCTATATATTAATATGATTGTTATTAAATATCCTTAGTCGAGTATTATTATGGGCAAGGACAATAATAATACATTTAAGGCTAACATATTGTTGATTGATTATAATGAGTTATCATTGACATATAGATGTCAGAATCATTGCATGAATATGTTGTTAAAGAACAACAAATTGGAATGACTCATTATGAGCATATGTCTTGGATTAATATGTGATAGTCACTACATTTCTCATGGTGATGACTATATGTATGATCCTTATACTTGAGATCATTACTATCTCAACATACATTGTTATATATTTTGATAAAATTAAGCATTCTTCGTAACTAGTTGCACTATAAAGACTGATATTGAATATATCACATTATGTGTAGTGATGTAAGAATGATAAAGATGTGATTTGTCATTCCTACATAATAAGACATATATCACAGGACACTTGATTGAGTGAGACTAGAAATGTATGGCCATGCTCGAATAAGTTGATATGAGATATCACAAATTATTCGTTTATTATAGTATACTCTATACATCAAGAAAAAACAAATTGGTTATACAAGTGTGACTATTCCAAGACTTGTGTTTATTCTATATATAAATGACAAAATGATGTAATACATTAAAAGAGTTAATCACGAAGATGTTATGTTGAATCATCATTTCTTGTAACTTAGGTGAAAATGATATATTGCTAGATGTCACTCATTGTTTGTAATAATATAATAGTTTTAATAATTACTAATAATATTATTGGAACCTATAAGGTCACACCCCAGGGTTAAAAAGAGCAATTTATAAATTAGTTACACATGTACAATTTTAATCGTGCATGAATAAAATGTATAATTAATATTAATATATATATTTGATATATATGTGATTGCAATTCTAACTATACATGGAATTTCAAATTTAATTAAAAAGAATATAATTAAGGTAATTATATTTCTTTTTATAATTTTTGGAATAAAACCTAAGTTTTAGAGAAACACTATATAAAAAGGATATTATTGGTCTAGCAACAGTTTTTTTATCCTTTTGGAATGAATTTTCTTAAAATAGTTTTTGAGAAAAAGAAATTACTCACAACTATTTTTAACCAGGTGTACTAAGTAAAGGCCAAGACGTTTTCAATGAACCCAAGGTTAAATTTTCTATCTCTTCCTCTTGATTCATGTATTTCGTACTTGGATCGTTGGTGAAGCTGTCGTATTAATTTTTTGCTACGCCATGGGGTGCACCGATGGTTCTAACTGTGGTATCAGAGCCACTTGTAGGGTCCAGATTTGGGTTAAAATTCCTGTTTCATGCTATATGTATGAGACACATTTTTTTATTATTTTCGACAAGTATGTATGCTATATGTGTTCGATCCGATAACAATCAATATTAATATGTTATTTCTGTTAAATAAATAAATATGGTTGTTGATTAAATGTTAATCATATATTTGTTGCTATATGATTTAGGGTTCGTATATTAATTGTTAATATCGTGAATGTGTGAATATGTTGCAAGATTGATGTCGATAGAGGAAGAAAAGGTTGTTATAGTGTGAAAAATATTAGGGATTGAAAGATTCTCGAAAACAAGATTTTGTTGACAAAAGTTATCAGATTATGATGTTTTTCATATAAACGTATAGGTGAAGACAACAAATATTAAAGACCCACATCGGTAATTATTAACAAAATTCGTAATAAAATGTGTATGATATGTTTGATATGCACGATGTTTGACATGCATGGTTATAGCCTATTATTTGCAATGGTTTTAAATTTTAAATACAACATGGGTGTCGTGCCTTCCTATAGTTCTATTGTACTTCTCTTTTCATCTTAATCCCTCATATGTAAAATGAGTTTTTGAAATTGCAATCATATGACAATTCCAATGAGCAGAAGAATAGATTGGTGAAAACAAGAAGATGTTTGAGAAGTTATCTTTATCTTTAGGTTTCATGGTTCTCCCATTAGCTTGGGATTTGCCACCTTAGATATTTTTGTTTGGGCTATAACCATTGAATTTTATTTGTTGTTTTATTTCTATCATGTATGTGATGCAATTTATGATGTATTAACATGATAATAAGTTGATGAGATCAATAAGGGCATAATATTAAAATGAAAAATGATGAGATAATTATGAAAATCCCTATTTATAATCAAGTTAATTTAACCGTTCAATATTTACCCTCGTTAAGACTTCAATCGATATTATATGGGTTTTGCCAAAGCAATGGCACATGAATCTATCTTGGTTAAATGCAAAGAATAAGGAAGTGATATTCACCGGTTAAAATATTGGTAATAACTTAGTTAGGTTATTTTAATAGGATTAGAAACCTAGAGGTTAATTATTTGGATAAATCATGAGATGATTTGAACAAAAGTTGTTCAACACATGGAGGAGTTACGTGAGATGTAATTAGTAAAGTGTTACTGACCTAAATAATCATTCTCCTAAAAGAAAAGCCAAACTAATTTAGGAAAAGGGTGAAATATGGATCCTCACTCACTATAAAAACTTTCGAGATGTTTTTCCAAAATTAAAATATGAGGGTTTTTAACTTTGAATAAAAACATGGGATGTATAATGCTTGCCACCACGACCAATGAGCTTCAGAAACAACATGAGGACGTGGTTGCATATGACATGATTCAAAATTTCAAGGAATTATATTAGGTCCAAGCACGTCAAGAGAGGTACGAGACCTCTAAAGATCTATTTCAATGCAAAATGAGTGAGGGATCTCCTGTAGAAGCTCATGTCATCAAGATGATAGGCTATATCAAAACATTAGAGAAGTTGGGCTTTCCACTAAAGGATAAATTAGCCACTGATGTCATCCTACATTCGTTGCTGGATAGCTTTAACCAATTTGTCCTTAATTTCAATATGAATGAAATTAACAAGACTTTGCCACTGTTACTTGGCATGAGACGAACTGCTGAAAGTAACATGAAAAAGGTTGGACCTAAGCCTATTCTGATGGTCTGAGAGGACAAAGGAAATGGAAAGAATAAAATAGTAGCAGAGTCTAATACTAATGAAAACCCAATCCCCAAGTAAAGGATGCATTGAAACCCAAAGGAAGAGTTAGCAAGGAAGAAAAATGTTTCCACTACGAAAAAAACTACCCTGTATACCTTAAAGAGGTCAAAAAGGAAAAAGCAAACGGAATATATGTTTCAGGTATTTATTCTAATGATGCTAATTTTTCAAAACCTACTTCTCGGGTATTAGATATCGATTATGGTTATCATATTTTTTGTAATGCCCCACACTCAGTCCAGGAGTTCAAGTTGGATACCTGAGCGTACATTAGGTTCCAATCGTGTTGGACAGATCATGATCCACATTACACACATTTTACGAAAAAAAACATATTAAAATTTCTTAATATTCATCACAGACAATGTTTAATGTAACTAACATGCAATTGAATCTCAATTAAACATGCAAACATTACATTTAAACATTTAGGGGTATTTCAGTCCTTTCACATCATATAATAAATAAATAAGTGAATCACCGAATTAAGGTTACCACATGTAAAAAAAATTTATAAGGAAGAATCATGCAAAATTTTGATACCAATCGGACATCAGACAATCACTCAATTGATCATACAATATCAGAGACCTAAATATAAATATACAAAACTTATGTACCAACCAACAACAAACAATTGAGGTTTCCATTATGTAATTAAGTGTGTTTAAGAAGTGATCACTCAAATCTCATCAAATTTCCAAATTAAGAGTTTAAGTAATTGAACAAATAAATTTCTGGGTTAAATTGAACTTACATATTCATTCAGGGGTTAAAATAAAATTTGAGAACACATCAGACCTTTAATAAATGCAATTTCACCTTTTTACATCCATAAAATAACGAATGATCCTTTCAATTAAATCATCACATTAATTAGCTCTGAAAATCAATTGAAATCTTAGAAATCGATTCAATTAAATCAACAATTCAGAAGAATCATTAACACTTAGTCACTTGCCCTCGAAGCTAGAAATAAAACTAAGAAAAAGATCCTTACCTTGTTGGAAAATAAATTGAAATTGAAATAATCAATGGAACTCCATTATGATCAAGCTTTAAAAACAAGAAGAGAATAGAAAAGAAACTTGATAATTAAAATCAGGATTGAGATGAATGAATTTTGAAATCATGAAGAAAAAGAGAAAGAATTGATCGGCTTGTTTGGAAGAAAACGAGAGCAAATGGAGGAAGTTAAGAGAAGTTACCAAAATGTAAAATGAGAAGGAAATGAAAAGCACGTGAATAAAAACAAACAAATGTAATTTAGATTAAAATTAATCTAGATGGAAAAAAATGGTAAAAAGGGAAAATTAAAACATTTTAATTTTAAAAAAAAACTCTAAACATAAACCTTGGTTTAATTGCTTCGTAGACTTTGGATATTGTTAAAATTTACAAAATGATCACCAAAATTATAATTTCAAATTCTTTCAATTTAGACTCCAAATCAATTAATTAAACTTCCATATTTAAATTAATCATATAAAATCACTTAAAACATTCCCAAAATATTTTTAAAACCAAAATATGAATTTTAGAATTTTTTCTTCATTTTTATCGGAATTGGAAAATCGAACCTGCAACTGACCCTAACTACTAAACCTGACTTTAGGACGTCACAACTCTCTCCCCTAAAAAGAATTTCATCCTCAAAATTACCTTAGCTAAACAACTGTAGAAACTAAGTTCTCATCGACTCTTCCGTCTCCCAAGTCGCCTCCTCAGTATTGTAGTTACGCCACAACACTTTTACCAACGGAACGGCCTTGTTATGAAGAACTTTCACATCCACAGCCAGAATCTTAACATGTTCTTCCTCATTAGAAAGATTCTTGTGAACCTCAACCTCATCAACCAAAATGACATGAGAAGGATCCGACCTATACTTACGCAATATTGACACATGAAACACATCCTGAAAATGTTCAAGCTCAGGCGGCAACATCAAACGATACACAACTGGCCCTACACGCTTTAACACCTCAAACGGTCCTATAAACCTTAGAATAAGCTTACCCTTACACCCAAAACATAACACCTTCTTCCAAGAAAAAACCTTAAGAAACACCAAGTCAGCCACAATGTACACAACCTATCGCGCTTCAAATCGGCACATGGCTTTTGCCGATAAAAAACAACCTTAAACCAATCCTTAATTAACTTAACTTTCTCCTCAGTTTCTTTAATCAATTCCAGACCAACAACGCATTTCTCACTCAACTCAGTCCAACACAAAGGAGTACGACAATTGCGTCCATACAACGTCTCAAACGGAGCCATCTGAATCTTAGCTTGAAAGTTATTATTATAAGAAAACTCTACCAACGACAAATAACACTCCCATGAACCAACAAAATAAATTACGCATGCCCGAAACATATCCTACAAAACATGTATCACACGCTCAGACTGCCCATCTGTCTATGTATGATAAGCTATGTTCAAACTAAGCTCAAACTCAAAGCCTTATGCAAACTTTTCCAAAACCTCGACGTAAACTGTGGATCTCAATCTAAAATGATCGACAAAGAAACTCCATTCAATCGCACTATCTTAACTATAAACAACTCAAATAACCTCTGTAACAAACATGTAGTATGAACCAACAAAAAATGCACACACTTAGTAAATCGATCAAATATCACCCAAATTGAATCCTTCTTCGACGGTGAAAACAGCAGACCTGTCACAAAATCCTTAATAATTCGTTCTCACTTCAACTCAAGAATAATAATATACTGTAACAAACATGAAGTAAACTGATGCTCGACTTTAACATGCTAAAAAACCAAATCTAACAAACTCAGCAACAACACACTTCAATCCATGCCACCAAAACAACTCATGCAAGTCCTGAAACATCTTCATACTACCTGGATGAATCGTAAATGATCCATTATGTGCCTCTACGAGATCTCATGCCTCAAACCCTCATTCCTCGAAACATATAACCTACCTCAAAATCATAAAACACCCTCAAAGTTCAATGAGTAGTCACCTCCAATACTATCTCGTACTAGCTGAAACTTTTATTCCATATGCTCGTCACTTGGTTGTGAATCTCGAATACGTCGATACCACATAAACTTAACTTGCAACTCAGTTACTAGTGCTCCATCCTTAGCCAAACTCAAACGAGAAAACAAAGCACATAACTCACCCATCAAATTTTAACTCAAGGCATCCACAATAACGTTAGCCATACCCAGATGGTACTCAATCACACAGTCCTAGTCGTTCAACAACTCAACCCAACACCTCTGCCTCAAATTCAGATCCTCCTGAGTGATGAGGTATTTGAGACTCTTTTGATCAGTGTAAAGAATACACTTCTCACCAAACAAGAAGTGTGGCCAAATCTTTAATACAAACACTACTACGACAAACTCTAAATTATGTATAGGATAGTTACGCTTATATGAATTCAACTGCCTTGATGCATAAAAACTACCTTTTTGTCTTGCATCAATACGTACCCAAGACTCAAGACCCACAATCAACACATCACTATAAACCATAATATCCTTTTTTAACACCAGTTGAACCAACATCAGAGCCTCTATTAAAGCTGAATCTAACAATTCAAAACTATTATGCCTTTCACTCATCCACTCATACTTAATACCTTTTTGCAACAACTTATTTAACGGAGTAGCTGCCCATGAAAAACCTTTAACAACCCATCTATCCCGCTAACCCGAGAAAACTACGACCCTCAACAACACTCCTAGGCGACTTCCACTCAACTATTGCCTTAACCTTACTCGAATCAACCCAAATATCCTCAGTGGAAATAACTTGACCAAGAAAGACGACTTTGCCTAACCAAAGCTCGTACTTAGAAAACTTAGCATACAACTTCTTTTCCCTCAAAACTTGCAAAACAACCTGTAGATGTGAATCATTATCCTTCTCAAAAACTGAGTACACCAACATATCATTAATGAACACCACCACACAATGATCGAGATATGGGTGAAACACACGGTTCATCAAATCTATAAAAGAATCTGGAACATTAGTTAAACCAAATGGTATCACCAAAACTTATAATGACCATAACAAGTCCGAAAAACTGTCTTCATCACAAGTGGTTCACTAACCTTTAACTGATAGTACCCAGAGTGCAAGTCGATCATCAAAAACACCTTGGCACCCCTAAACTGGTCAAACAAGTCATTGATCCTCGGTAAAGGATACCAATTCTTGATCATGAAATTGTTCAATTGACGATAAGTAATACACATTCTCATTGTATCGTCCTTTTTCTTTACAACAAAACCAGAGCACCCCACGGAGAAACACTCGAACAAATAAAACCTTGATCCAACAGCTCTTGTAACTACATTTTCAAATCCTTCAAATCCTTAAGTGCCATACGATATGGTGCAATAGACGTATGAGCTGAATCAATATAAGTCTTTATGCGAAACTCAACCTCACAATCGAATGGCAAACATAGTAGATCTTATGGAAACAAATTTGGAAAGTCCTAAACCGTATGAATATCCTACACATGTAATTATTGACCACTCGGATTAACTACGTAAGCCAAATACGCCTCACAATCACAACACAACATCCTACTTGCATCCAAAGCTGACACAACATTAGAAACAAACTCCGACCGTTAACCCACAACAACTAACTCAACATCACCCTCTGTCTTCATAATTGCCTGGGAAAACTCAAAATCCAAGTGCACCCGATACTCGCACAACCAATCCGTACCCATAATGACGTCAAAACTATAGAACGATAACTCCATTAAATTGGCCAAAACAAATCTCACCTTGAACAACCAAAGGACACCTATGATACACACAATCCACAAGTTCTTTCTCGTCCAAAGCTCAAGTTACATCCAAACCCACACTCTTAACACAAACAGAACACTCAACCGACTAGCCAAACTACTAAGGATATAAGAGTATGTAGAACTAGAATCTATCATGGCATGTAAAGGAAAATAATATAAAAGAAAAGTACTTGTGATCATGTCCATTAGAACACGATCCTGAGGTTCACCAATCACGTACACTTTAGCAGGTCCATCAGTCTTAGTTACCCCGACACAACCACGACCTCTACCACGATCTTGACCTATCGGACCACCTGTACCAACTCAACCACCTCCTCTAGCAGGAACATGTTCACCATCTCTATTCTCAGCTCTCCTCGAACAAACTCGTAACCGATGACCCTTGTAGCCACAACAGAAACAACCTCTAATAGTACACCAACACTCGTTCGAATAACTCTTAGCACAATACAAACAAAGTGGAAACTGCTACTAATCTTTAAATAATCCAACAACTCTACCATACTGACCCTGATGAGAATCATACTAATTCGATCCTCGCCCTTTTTCAGATAAACGACTCTAAAAACTAGCATCACCGAACCTCTTTCTAGAGAACTCCCTAACTAGTTCACCCAAAGTACTATCGACATCCATTGCCTGATCTACCAGAATGTCAAATACCTTTCAAACCCAGTAACTAAGTAGACATGAATCTCTTTCCTCAAACTATATTTAAACCTCTTGCACCTCGTAATCTCAATCGAAATAATATCTCAAGAATACTCAATCAGACGAACAAACTTGGCCTCGTACTTAGATATAGATAAATGACCTAAACCAAGTCGAGAAACTCTTTTTTCCTCGCGTCCGTATACTGTGCACCAATAACTTACGCCTAAACACCTTAAGGGAGTACGACCATGTCAGTTAATCCTTATTAGCACTCCTCCGAGTCATAACCCACCAATGATGAGAGCTACTTTAAATTAAAGATGTAACACAACCCATCCTTTCAGCATCGGTACAACCCATCTGATCCAAAACCCAGATAACACTCTTCAGCCATTCCTCTAACGCTGTTGGCTCAGTGCAACGAACACCACTAAACACTCTAGCTCCTAAAACCTTCTAGCGGTAACCCTATAGCAGTTAGTACCGACACAGAAACAGACACTTCAATCGGAATAGCGCAACGCAAAGCTCCCAGAAATAACTCAGTCATCACATCCACATGAGGATTCGGTTGTGGGACTTACAGGACAACTTAACCCTAGAGCTCTCAACATAGCACAATATTGCGGTGCCATCACTCTAACTAAATATATACAAACCAACATCAGAGTGAGAAGCACAACAATGATCAAGGCAAGGCCCACAAAAATATTTCAAAACTATGTGGCAATTTGGTTCCCCATTCCTACTTCGACCTAAAATAGTATACAAATCATTAATCAATAAAACATTTAACTAACTTGGCTCTGATACTAACAAATGTAATACCATGTACATGATCCAGGAGTCCAAGCCGGATATCTGAGCGTACATTAGGTTCAATGTAACTAACATGCAATTGAATCTCAATTAAACATGCAAACATTACATTTAAACATTTAGTAGTATTTCAGTCATTTCACATCATATAATAAATCAACAAGTGAAATCACCCAATTAAGGTTACCAAATGTTAAACATTGTCATAAGGAAGTAGAACGCAAAATTTCATACCAATCGAACATCAGACAATCACTCAATTGATCATACAAGATTAGGGACCTAAACATAAATATGTAAAAATTATGCACCAACCAATATCATACAATTGAGAGTTTCATTATGCAATTAAGTATGTTTAATAAGTGATCACTCAAATCTCATCAAATTTCTAATTTAAGAGTTTAAGTAATTAAATAAATCAATTTATGGGTTAAATTGAACTTACATAATCATTTAGGGGTTAAAATAGAATTTAAGAACACTTCAGACCTTTAATTAATACAATTTCACCTTTTTCCATCGAGCAAAATAGTGAAGGGATCGATCCTTTCTTGAAAGGGATCGATCATTTATAAAACGAGATAAATTCTTTATAAAACAAGAACATGCATATTTGGTCAACTAATAACCCATATAAAATTAATCATGGACTAGTAACATGCTTGGACACTATTCAACCACTTCATACATGTCAAAACAAAGGTATGCTTTATAACGCAAGTCAACACATTATTCAAGGATTTGAATCCAAAAGTCAACAATTGCATAAAAATTCATTTCTAGCACAAGTAAGCTACTCATTTTTAGCATTTAAAGTCGTTTCATGAAACCTAAGAGTCTAACATATTCAGTTTACCAAGTTACACTTAACTAAACACTCTAAACAATTCTTTAATGACTAAAAAAATATTTGAGTAATCTCATGCTTCAAGTAACAAGTTCATAGTTATAAATCCAAATTCAAAAAATCAAACCAAAATAA